GTAAATTAGGGATTTAAAATTATACCATCGTAATCCTTGTTTAATTCTCTATTAAAAACGTGGTACAAAAAAATGGGGGTTTTCAAGAACTATATTTGAAATATTTTTCTTTATGACAAGATGGTTTATTTTGTGAGAATCTGCAATTTTTTGTAATTTGTTTTCCAAAACTTATGTTAACATATATTTGGTAAGGTGTTAACCATCGAGTTTTTGCAAAAAGTAAAATTTTATTGCAGATTCCGATAGAATGCCTATCCAGATATAATATTTGTATGGCAAGATTTTTCTTTAAGGCGACAAATCCCTAAATATGGGCGCGGAAATTTTAGGACTAAAGTTTGCAAAACGCAGATTTTATTGCGGATTTCAGCAGAATATCGCTTGGTTAACAACATTTGTTCCACAATATACATACATAGTGAAGTGTCCTTCGACTCGACACCCATGCGTAGAGAACGAAAGAAAAGGCGCCCACGAACGCAATGGAAAAAGAAGAACCTCGGAGTCAAGTATAACCTGTTTAGGCTGTTCTCCCGCATGCTATCCAGCATAAGATTAATAGAGCCTTCGCGTTTTCTCTGGATTGTCCTTGCAAATGATGCCCTGGAAGAACTGGAAAGAAGGAAATGTCCAATTGGAGCCTACGATAACGATAGATTTTCTCAAAACTATGATGTGTAGCTTAGTAAAGCTTTCTTATACCTGCAGATATCAATACAGTTACTTACAGCTAGAAGTTCCCATATCGCCGAATACAGCCATACTAGATAATGAGATGTACCACTATTACATTCCTCATGGTGAATGATCAGTTATCTTGGTAGGTATAAAGTTAATTAGTTAGGGACACTGCAACCAAGAAGATCTTGTGAATGCATTTAATATGCCTCGTTACCTGGCAGACCACGATACCACCAGCTTGCACTCACCTTCACATAATAAGCGGAGCCTTTCTTTTCTAGGCAAAGCCGGAATTCGGTCTCCATTGTCAGAACAATTCGTTGCATAAGGCGAAGAAGACCAACTGAGTCCATAAAGTTGTCTTGTAAGAACATCCGATAAGCTTTCCCTGTTCAGTACATCGGAAACTGCATGTCCTTTGATCTCGCAGTAATACGGTACGGGTGACAAGGGAACCTTGCAGGGATGGAAGTTATCGTCTTATTATTGAGGGTCCGTTAGCTAAAAAACTGCTACACATTTCTTTTAGGAAACATGAAAAAGCAACCAAGTCCAAGCGGTAGAAATAATAGCTGCTATTTCAAAAATCACCACGCCTTCCCATCTAACTTTGTAGGCTTCAACAAGAATCGAAGCCGCGTCATCCTAAATAAAAAGCTTATACTTTCTTCAAATTATCAAATCGTCTGTTGAAATAAAAATTAGAATAATGCCAAAATTAATAACCCGCCTGAAATATACATTACTTTTTATTTTTCGGAGTAGTTAAGGGCTAAACTCATTCCAGAAATACTTTTATTTGTGAAAAAATGTTGTAGATCTTAGAAATCCAGAGTTAATTATTTTTATCCAAGACTTTTATTGGAACGACTCCAATAAAATATCTCAAAACAGCTTTCGGAGCAAAAATCAACTTAATCTACTATATCACGGCATTACTAATTTGCTCGTACTATTACAGGGAAGCCTTTCTCTTCTACTGCACAGCAAGCACATTTCCCATCGAATACTTTCAGGCCTGAAGTAGTTGCGTCCTCTCGTAAGACATGGCCAAGGCTTGGTAAAAAATTATTTATGTGAGGTTTAGTGATGAAGCTCTTTTTATCTTCTTCAGGATCAGATTAAAAAGTCCCTTGAAATGAAGTACCCATGTCTGAAACAATTCTGACAAATCGGTACGTTTTGCTCAACGTCATTTTACACAGACGATGTTACGTCGACATGTGGTAAATACCTGATCTATGGTGGTTTTATTATGTTTAAAGCCACCCTGATAAGGCTTTAGTCGTTTGTACAACACGCTCATGATACGTTTTCAAAGCTGAATTCAGATGTGGTTGGCGTTTATAGAGTGGTCGTCGTTTCTGATCCTTAATCAGATCAAAATTAAGCTTTCAGTCAAGAGGTGTGTTTACCTCCGACCATATTCTAGTGCTCAGTCACGGTTGGGTCATGGGATATCACCTCCATCGGCATCGACTGAGAGGATGGTGTGCATCTCTTCCCTTAATATACAATCATATGCTGTGGAATATAATAACCTGAACATCTCATAAGTAATTATTTCATTTGGTCCACATATCATTTGTCACGGCTACTTCAGGCGTTCGAATTTTATTTATTCGACAGGACCATGTCTATACATCTTCTTCTACTAACTATTGAATTTATTTCAATAATCGTCCAAAAGAGTAGGCATTTCTTCTGTAGCATAGTTATCTTCGTTTGGCAAACGATTTGGCTGATAAGATAGATGTTTTGATAGGTACATATTTGGCCCAGATATTATATTGCCATACAAATGCGTGTGTATGTACCGATAAAATTTCATCACATCTTCGAGCGGCAAGTGGATATTATAAGACAGAAGTACACTCGAAGGTTTGCCATTATCTGCTGAGAAGAAACTTTGTCTATAATCTTTGTAGAATAATGCATGGACCAGAGCTCGAGCCATGTAAATGATCACTGAACTTATGGTACTTTCAAAATAAACGGCTCATATGGTGACCAACAAATCTGTTTTAACAAACATATTTAAGTACATACAAGGGACCGTAACAGTTACAACTTTAATAAAAAAATATCGCTCTTTAACAGTTATTTTTTTAACTTTTATTTAATTTTTTATTTTATAAATCCAAAATAACAATTATTTTTAGGTTTTGTCTAAATAATCTGCACATAACATTTATTTGTGATTTTTAAATTAAATGTCTTAGATAAGGCTTTTATTTATAAGAGTAATAAATAAAAATCAGCCAGTGACTCTTACTCTTAAAAGTCATCAATATAAGTCAGTCACTGACTTTTATTTTTTAAATCATATTCATAAAAGTCATTTGTATAAGTTGTAGTAAACTTTTAGTTCTCCAACACCCCCTTAACTGCGAAAAATGATAATGACTTTTATACGTGTGACGAAAAAAATAAAAGTCGGTGACTGATTTATATTGTTGTTTTTTAGAAGTAAGATCCACTAACTGTTATCTAAGACATACAATATAAAAATTAAAAATAACTGTTATTTGCAGATTGTTTAGATACAAATCAAAAATAATTGTTAGCTTGGATTTAAAAAATAAAAATTAAAAATAATTGTTATTTTTTTTTATTTTGCATAAAAATTAGAAATAAAAATTTATTTCTAAATTTCATTATCGGTGAAAAAATAAATTGATTGGTATGTTTCACTTAGTTGTAGAACATTATCATCATAGTGAATTTTTCAATGACAATTTTCATCAATAACTGTTATGATCGGTCCCTGGTACTTACTATATATACATATGTATTAAACGAGTTTTTCGCCTTTTGCTCTACATTCCAAACTAAAATTGTCCCACTCCATATGCGCATCATTAAGCATTATTGCATGTCTGTGACAAATCGCATTGACGTTCAACTGATCAACTGCCTCTGAACGCCACGCAACGGAATTTGTGGCACGCAAATGCGACAGCATACAAAAAGCACAAACGCAGCACGAAAATAGGCCACCGACAATTTTAACCCAATATTCTACTAATGAAATGAAAATAAAAAGTAGTTCCTATGTATAAGTACATAAGTACATATGCAAGTACATACTTTGCAGAAAACTAGGCAATTAAAAAAAATATAGTAATAAACCAGTTGTTGCACTCGGTGCGCGGAACATAATAATTCTTGGCAGCTGGCCAATGCGCCATAGCCGCCACCAACATCATCGTCATTTGGTCGGCTGAAATGAAACAAGAATTGGCAGCAGAATAAATGCAAATGTTGACAGCGAAATAGAAACTGGAAGTTGCCAATGGCCAGATTGGCGCGATGTGGCAGAATAAGCAGTGTTTGGTGGACTTTGCTGCTTCCCAGCATTTTGTAGCTGCAATGAAAGCGTGGAAAAGTCTAAGTCAAAGCCATTGCCATAGTTGGCAACAAATACATGCATTGACGTTGGCAGTGCACTCACGAGCGCTGGTTGGTGCCGCCACTTTACTGCTGCCAATACCACTTTCATTAAGAACGTGCTCAGCATTATCCTGTGTATAGCAGGCGAATCCGCTGCTCAAGATGCAAATGTTGCTGCTTATGCCTCGGCATCTTTCTCTGTCCCTGTCTCAGCCGCTGGCGCTGATATCACTCGATGATGTATTTGCGCTTGCCGCCTTGTGGTTGGCGACTGGCGGCTAGTGACTACTGGCCGTTGGCTTTATTTGCAGACCAGTCTGTGTGAGAGGTGGTCGTAAAATGAAAAGGCTTCATAATAAAAATCGAAAAGCAACTAACAGACACGATTTTTCATAGGAATGAAAACAATAGCGGACGGACAAGTAAATGGGCAAGCCAACGAGCAGAGACACAGCACAAATGCAATAGTAAACTGAAAGAACAAATACAAAAATTGCATGAGCAGAATGTCTGTTGATGGCTTGTTGCAACAACGTGAGTGGCATAAAGCTAAAGTCATAGCGTAGCCGCAACTAAAGAAAAATGGGAAAAAAGTTGAAAGCGGAAAAACGAGAGGCAGGAGTTGCATCGGACCGCACAGGTTTCTGCCACATACATATGTAAATATGCAAATAGCCTGGATAGATTAGCCAGCATGGTCGTGTTGCAAGTGGTGACAGTGTAATTGTTGCCGAAGCACATATGCACATAAATATGCATGTACAAATGAATGTGAATATATCTATATACATATATACATACATATGTAAGTATATTACCAATTTCATGTAGAGTAAATGCGCAATTGATATGCAAGTAGGTACGTTTATATGTCTCTGATTTCGAATTTTGAACCGCAAAGTATTTTTTAATAAATATGTAAGCGTTGCAATTTTACATTCAGGACGAAATAATTGGTGTCATGTGGAATGGTTTTGAATTTTCGTGACTGTTATGTGCAACCCCATATCTTACATAAGAGTTTTTCAGATAACACCGTGTGACACGAAATGGAACTATGGGTACATTAAAGTAAAACCGCGTACTTAGTTTTCTCTCTGACGTCAGGACTTTTTTAAAAGTTCTTTGAAATTTACAAAATATGATTATTTCAAAAAATTATTTAAAATATTCGGCGCAATGTAGGCGGCTGTGGTGTAGTGGTAAGCAATTCGCGCTCCTGGGAGAAAAAAATTGTAGAAAAAACGGCGGTCGCCCCTCGGCAGGCAATGGCAAACCTCCGAGTGTATTTCTGCAATGAAAAACAGCTTCCCATAGAAATACAATCGCCGTTCGGAGTCGGCGCAAAACTGTAGGTCCCTCCTCTCTGTGTGACAACATCAAGGCACACGCCACAAATCGGAGGAGAAGCTCGGACAAACACTAACATAAGTGTAAGCGCCAGCCTATTATTAATGTAGGATAACAATAAGGGTATTATATAGAGGAAAAAAATCTTTAGAATTATAACAGAATAAATTTTTGGGTGCATAAGGACGAATGGGTATGGAAAATTTTCGTGAAAAATTTTTTTTTCCTTAAATATCCTTAAAAAATTACAATACTTTTTTTTTTAAATGATTAATTGGGGACTAATATATGTAATTTAAGTGTGCTCTGCCCAATCCACAAGAAAGGTGACCCCGCCATTCGCGCCAACTACCGCGGGATCAGCCTTCTAAGCATAGGTTACAAGGTCTTATCGAGCGTATTGTGTGAAAGACTGAAGCCCACCGTCAATGAACTGATTGGGCCTTATCAGTGTGGCTTTAGACCTGGCAAATCCACCATAGACCAGGTATTCACAATACGCCAAATCTTGGAAAAGACCCGCGAGAAAAGGATCGACACTCACCACCTATTTGTCGACTTTAAAGCCGCTTTTGACAGCACTGAAAGGAGTTGCCTATACGCCGCTATGTCTGAATTTGGCATCCCCTCAAAACTCATACGGCTGTGTAAAATGACGTTGAGCAATACCACCAGCTCCGTCAGAATTGGAAAAGACCTCTCCGAGCCGTTCGCCACAAAACGGGGTTTCAGACAGGGCGACTCCCTTTCATGTGATTTCTTTAATCTGATGTTGGAGAAGATAATAAGAGCTGCAGAACTGAACCGCTCAGGAACAATTTACTACAAGAGCGTGCAATTGCTGGCTTATGCCGATGACATCGACATCATCGGTAAAAAAAACCGCGAAGTCTGTTCTGCCTTTTCCAAGTTGGATAGGGAAGCAAAGCGCATGGGTCTGGTGGTAAACGAGGACAAGACGAAGTATCTCCTGTCATCAAACAAACAGTCAGCACATTCGCGCCTTGGCTCCCACGTCACTGTTGACAGTTACAATTTCGAGAAAGTAGAGAATTTCGTTTACTTGGGAACCAGCATTAACACCGATAATAATGTCAGCATTGAAATCCAACGTAGAATCACTCTTGCCAACAAGTGCTACTTTGGACTGAGTAGGCAATTCAGGAGTAAAGTCCTCTCTCGACGTGCGAAAACCACGCTCTATAAGTCACTCATCATGCCCGTGCTGGTATATGGCGCAGAAGCATGCACAATGACAACATCCGATGAGGCGGCTCTTGGGGTGTTTGAGAGAAA